ACGTTGGTCCTTCTCATCTCCTCCATCGTCTTCAATCTCTGCGGCGCGTTTGCTTCAGTCTCCGATGATCACAGCCGTCCAATGATCCTTCCTCTCCATCTCTCATCCCCAAACGCTAATTGGCACCACCGGCAAGCCTTCGACGGCCGACGTCTCCAGAGATCGGAGCCAAATTCTCACATGAGGCTCTACGACGACCTCCTCGCCAACGGGTTTGACTCTGCTCCCAAACTTTCCCTAATTTTCAGGTTTTGATGTTTTCGAATTGTACTGAACGGAAGGCTCTGTAACTTGGAATTTGAAATAGGTACTACACAACGCGGCTATGGATTGGGACACCGCCTCAGCAATTCGCTTTGATTGTGGATACGGGAAGTACAGTGACTTATGTGCCTTGCTTTGACTGTGAACAGTGCGGTAGGCATCAGGTTTGGCTTCGCTTGCGGACTTACTTATAGTCATAAAGTTTTGTGCATTTAGGTTTTACTTAATCGTACATTTGTAGATATGTAGCTCAATTTAATATCCGTCTAGCTTTTGAATTGTTTGAGTACCATTAAGGATTGACTTGAGCTGACTAGCGATAAAAGCTCAACAATTGCAGTCCACAGTTCTTGATTAAAATTCGGTATAAAGTTTTGTGTGCTTCTTGAAAACAGGAAGGTAGGGACTAAAAGAATGTGAAATCACATTCACTAGTTTAGCTGCCAGTTTAGTAATAATTTCACTTTTTTTTTTTGTTTGGAGCTGAAGAAATCCGTTTTTCCTACTTTTGTCAATCATTCTGCATAAGTTGAAGGTTTATTCAACTTGTGTGTAAAGTTCTACCTTCTTACCTTGCAGATTCTCCCTATGTTTCGATATTATTAATATTAGCTCATTGGTCTTGAAACTAAAATATTGTTGTTATGCAGGACCCAAGGTTCCAGCCTGATTTATCTAGCACATACCAACCTGTAAAGTGTGATATCAATTGTAACTGTGACAAGAAAGAAGCCCAATGCACTTATGAGCGGCGCTATGCTGAGATGAGCTCTAGCAGTGGCGTGCTTGGTGAGGACGTCCTCTCATTTGGCAATGAAAGTGAACTTGTGCCACAGCGTGCTGTTTTTGGCTGTGAAAATATTGAAACCGGTGATCTTTACAGCCAACGTGCTGATGGAATAATGGGTTTGGGTCGTGGTCGGCTTAGTGTGATGGATCAACTTGTTGACAAGGGGGTTATTAGTGATTCATTCTCATTATGTTATGGAGGGATGGGTGTAGGCGGGGGTGCCATGGTTCTTGGCAGCATCAAATCTCCCCCTGATATGGTATTTACGCATTCAGATCCTTTTCGCAGGTGCATACTTTTTTAACACCCTTAACTGGCACTTAGGTTTCCTGAATAATGTATTTTGTGCATCTCACGCATTACTTTAGTTTTGGAATTGCAACAGTCCTTATTATAACATTGAGCTGAAGGAAATACATGTAGCTGGGAAGCCTTTGAAGTTAAACCCAAAAATATTTGATGGAAAGCATGGAACTGTACTGGATAGTGGAACTACATATGCATATCTTCCAAAGGATGCTTTTCATGCGTTTAAGGATGCTGTAAGCCTTCACGTTTTGAGTTTCTTCCTCTCTTTGTTTTAATGCTTATAAAGTCTAGCTTATTTTGACACCATTGAAACGGTGAAGTTCGCTCTGACCAAAAAGGTAAAAGGAAAAGGTGGGTTTTACTTAAGGAACAAATTATTGAATTGTTTTCCTCCGTAAATTGGTTCAGTTTGCAATCAATCTATACCCCGTTTGAACCATCATGTGATGGTAATATTTTCTTTTGGGTTAATGTGCAGGTTACGAGGAAAGTCAATTTCCTTAAAAAAATCCATGGTCCTGACCCAAATTATCAAGATATTTGCTTTTCAGGTGCTGGAAGGTAATTCCTGCAGAAAGTTTGCATATCTGGAGTTTCATTTGTCATGATTTAGTAATTAGCTCAGTTTTTCATCATAAAGTTTAACATGGAATTGTGCTTTAGGGATGTCACCCAACTATCAAAGGTTTTTCCACAGGTTGATATGGTTTTCACCAAGGGACAAAAATTCTCACTGTCTCCAGAGAACTACCTGTTCCCGGTAACTTGATTATTTATTGTTCTTAACCATGTCTTCTTGAAATAATTTATGAGCCTCTTTATGGTGGAAAATCTGATTGAAAATGGTTTTGAGGCCTTTTTTTTTCCTGACATTTATAATTCAGATTTCTTATCTATAATATTGTGAAGAGAGAGTCCTTGTGAATCATCACATAGGAAATGTCATTTATCTTCAGTCATATTGCACTCACGTTGCGTGCGTGGGTCCTTCTTGTATTTATTTAATCATGCACATTTTGATCTATTGTTTTTTCCTCTGTTTTGCTTGTGCTCTTAATCCTCAGCATACAAAGGTTAGCGGGGCTTATTGCCTGGGAATTTTTGACAATGGGGATTCGACTACTCTTTTAGGAGGTATGTGATATTTACAAAATCATTCTCTCTCTCTCTCTCTCTCTCTCTCTCTCTCTCTCTCTCTCTCTCTCATTTGGTCTGATGTTGTTCTACAATTTCTTTTGAAAATCATGTCTTGCGTAAACATTTCAAATAATAAATATCCTCCCCATTTTCTGCCCAAAGCATGCATGTCCAAGCATTTTCACAATCGATAAATGGAGCTAGCTCACTTTGTGGATTGTACAGGAATTGTTACACGTAATACCCTTGTGACTTATGATCGAGCAAACGACAAGATTGGCTTTTGGAAAACCAATTGTTCTGAACTATGGAAGAGATTGAATTATAGTAATGCTCCGCCTCCAGCACCTTCAGCATTTGATGGCCGAAATACAAGTGTAGAAATTTCTCCTAGCATTGCTCCAAGTGGATTGCCTGATACAGTTATTCCAGGTACAGTGGGTTTCAAGAGTTTAAATGGCCTTTATGGTACTTTCAAATAAAAAACATAGTTATCAAATATCGAACCATATTGGATATTGATCCACAATCGGTCACTAGTTCACTGGTACAGCTTCAGGTAGATAGATGAAGAGCTAGATTTTGTGAAAAATGGAAGCAATAATTACATTTATGAGCAGAAAAAGGGAGGATTTTTTTCGTTTATTGATATGTCTATTCAAACTTATTGTTGTGCATAGGGCAATATGCTAGTGTCCGCATGTGGTCCAACCCATAGTGGGTTCAAGAGCTATGATTTAAACCCTAGTGTTTAGGCTGTTAGTATAATTTCTTACACTAACATTTCTGTTAGGTTGGTTGGACTCATTTCTAATCCAAGTCAACATCTTTCTGAATATACTTAAGTAGTTATCTTCTGTTATCATGAAATAGGAAGCATTTTTCTTTTGGGGGGTTGGGGAGAGGAGGGATTGTGCACGTGCATAAATTTTAACCTTATACTCCTCTCATGCATTTGAAATTTGCTCTCCCTCTGCAACTTTGGCTATTTTCTTCCGTGACATCTCAAACATTTGATATGTAGGTGTACTTCAAGTAGGGCTAATAAGTTTTGATATGATGCTCAGCATCAACAACACTATCAAACCCAATTTCACAGAACTCGCAGAGTCTATTGCTCATGAGCTGGAACTTAATATTTCACAGGTATGCTTGAGCTACTTTATCTTCAACCTAGTATCCTGTCAAAAATCTTCTTCCCCTTAATATCTAGATCCCAGGTGCTCAACTATGCATAAGACCATGTATGATATCAAGAATTCAGCATCCAGCTGTAAGAAAGAATCAAGAGAAAATTACTCCAATCTCTCCCATGGTATCCCGATATTTAAAAATAATGAAAGGCTTTGAAGTTCTATGGCTGTCAAGGTCTTTCTTTTTCATTTGATCAATGATTAGATTAAACTTGGGCTCAATTTTCTTTGGTAACCAACTCAGCCCATCCAATTGCCACCCTTGGTGGTCTGGAGTACATGCCCTTACAGTGTGCCAGTATCTCTTATTATTATTTTGCCTTTGTATATCTTGGATTACTTTAACATCCACGAAACGAACTCTTTTTCAGGTTCGCTTAATGAACTACACCCATACAGGAAATAACTTTGTCATTAGGTGGGCGATCGTCCCTGCTGAATCTGCAAATTGCTTTTCTAATACCAAAGCAATGGTAATAGGACTACTGGTGCTGGAGTACATCTACTTACAATTGGAGCCTTTTCCATATGCCAACTACAGTTTTAAGCTAATTCTTATTTAATATTGCAGGGCATTATTCTGCGGTTAAAGGAACATCAAATGCATATTCCTCAGAAATTTGGAAGTTATCAGCTGGTCAAATTGAAGGTTGAGCCTCAAATGAAGCGGTATGCTCTACTGTGCCTGTTCTTTTTTGTCTTTTTTACTTTTTTGTGTTTTTGGTACTTCTTCTTTTCTCACTCCATTATTGGTTCTCATTTTTTGACTTCTTTTCACTGGAATCAAACATCTCATTCTAGTATTAGAGGCCAATCAGGTTGAATTTGTTGATTTTATTTTTCTCCTTCACTTTGTGTTTTAATCGTTTTCTTGGTAAGGTTGTATTCGAATCTTTTGTAGATTGATAGTTGCAGTGCTGGATTCCTTTTCCGTGTCCTGTTTCCTCAACCGTTTTAACTTTAGAATTTTGCTGCAATCTTTTATGCAAATTATGCGTCATCTTTAAAATTGGATTATGTTCGAGAATTGCAGGTCATGGTGGAAGCAACACTATTGGGCGGTGGCAGTTGCAGTTTTAGTTACCTCCGTTCTTGGATTATTAGCATTAGGGACATGGTTGGTTTGGAAATATAGATTGCAAGACATCGTTTCGTATGAGCCCGTTGCTGCCAGGGCCATTGTTCCAGAGCAAGAGCTTCAACCGCTTTAAAATCGAAATTTTCAAAACAGTGTAGTTGGAAGAACTTCTATTACTCACTGTGGTGGATATTCTGTTTCAGACAGCACCGAAAGCATACGCATGTGGTGGGTGCATTGAAGAAGCTGGACATTGGGAGGAGATGAAATCTGCAATCCCTCTGTTACTCCAGTTACTGTACAATGGAATTTCAGTATAGAAAAGTGGAAAGACAACAAAACAAATAGGCATGATTTTGTCGATAGATGAAAATAGTTGTGTAGATCAATCAAGTGATGGACTTGTACGGCCAATTGGTTTATTGGTGTCCCCTAGCTTAATGGCTGCCTCCCACCAACCGAAAAGAGTGATAATAATTGGAACCGTGGACTGTTGCATTATCTTTCGGTTTTTTCCGGCCCTTTCAATAAAATATTTTATTTTACCCTCTATTTTCTCGTGTACATAAACATGCATATAATCTGACTGTGAAGTAGTTGGATTTAAGTCCAAGACTTCCCGTTATTGACGTTTAATCACACCGCTGAGTCGGACTGTGACGTGAAGTCAAGGCATTGGATCAGGCAGCATTATTTCATTTTTTCGGGCAAATATTTCTTAGCTATCTACCAAACTAACAAAGAAACTCGTTTTCAGGCCAAATGAGAAACAAACTCACCTAAGTTTCAATATGATTTCATTAGACACTCGCTTTTAGCGGGAGTTCTTGTGAGAATGACAAATTTGTCCTTGGAGGGCAACCCGTTACCCCACCCCACCACTCTTCTCCTCAAAAAGTGGGAGCTAGCTGGATAGAGGGGCAACTGGAGATCTTTGTTTTCATGTTGGACAAAACAACCGGATCTACACTACCCGTACGTCCTTGATTTCATGTTAACTCTATTATCGAAGAAATACTATTATCGAAGAAATAAGAAAACGGGCGACGGTTTGGCACCAGATATCCGGGGGTGTGGAAAGAGCAGCTGTGAGAAGCGGAAAATAAGGCTGACTCAAAATATTATCATAATTGTATATTTTTTTAAATTTTTTAATTTGGTAATATTATAACACTGTAAAACTGAAAACACAGAGAAAACCCAAATTTGGGATAGAGAGTTTGCGCCACAAAATTAGTTACTCATTGAATTGAACGTGTTTGAAAGTTGAAACAGAGTGTATAAATGTGAGATATTGAGAGCAAAAATTGTTGAAAGAGGGCAAAGAAAGAAAATAAATGTGAGTAATTAATTTAGGGCTCAGGTGGGGTGGGCGCGGCAGATGTGACGTGTCAAGTACCAATCTTACTGTCAAACAGGGTGATTAGTGCCTGATTAGTGCCTGATGACGATTAACGTACGATGCATGTGAAATTAAAATTTCATGCCCACAAACAACCTCGAAAGCGAACCATTTAAAACGACGCGTTTAATTAATACGAATTGTGTCCATATCCAAAGTATAATTTAGGAGCAGATGCACCTGCCAACTCTTCCCGTATGAAGCAATTAATTTAATAATTAAGGCACCAACCAACGAACCATTACGTAGAAGCATCAAGTGGTGCCACAATCAGGGCCCTCCATCCCTCCCTTCATCTTGATCAAGATGAGCATCCATGATTGATTGATCAAATCAAGATGAGTAGTATTACACTTGTACCAAAATCATAGAATGCGGGAAGGATAAGAGGAGCGCTAAAAGCGTGCTAGCTAGCTCCTAAGCTTCTCCAAACCAAAAAACAACTATCATGGAACATTAAACCAAAATGAGATTAAAATCCAATAACAAATCCACCATAATCATAATATATAATTATAATATAGTGCAATATAAAGATTTTTATTACAACATCACGTACGGGGCTCCGCTTATTCACTTAACTTTGTATGACATAACTAATTCTTTTTTTAGAGGAAACGATGTATTGCATTTATAAATTAAACACAAAGACTGAACCCGTATAACTAATTCTTTATACATATGATATACACCATGAATTGAAGAGAGTACTTACTTAGCATATTTATATATAATGCAATATCAACTTCTGTTAATATATTTTTTTGTTGGGTTTTATGGGTCCGAAATCAATTAAGATTTGGGGAATAATAATAAGCGAGTGGTTAATTAAGGGCATTTGGGGTTGCCCTTGGAGTTTTTGAGGTCCCTGTAGCAAGGGCACTCGTCCTTGTTTCCGTAAGTCCCAGATGGAACGCAGTTGCATTTCTCACAGCAGATTCCACAGTACTTCAAGCACCGCTCCTTATATCCGGCTTTCGAACATCTCACCCCACACTTGGAGTCACAGAAAGCTGCCCATAAATAAGCAGGCATCTAATTAATTTCATAGTTTTAGAATAAACAAATTAAAAAATGAAAATATATATATATATATATATATATGATGAAGCCAAGAGTAATATATAATTAGTTGAAAGTAGGCATATATCGTACATGAACCAGCCATTGTAACCTCAAATACAGAGGAGCTGAGAAGAAGACAAACAAGCAGGAAGGTTGCAAAGCCGAGCTTCATTTTTGCCAAGAAGAGAGGTTGAAGATGGAAGAGGCTGGGCTAATGTGTTTTTGTGTGTTTGTGTGTGTTTGTGTTTGTGCGCGTTATGGAAGCGGGGATGAGGAGAGTATTTATAATACGCGGGGTAGGTAGGTGAAATGTTGGATTAACTTAACTATGTAAATTAATTTTGTGTAAAACTTTGGCAATGGTTTTTGGATTATTTAATTTGGCCAGCTGGAAAAGAGTGTATCCCGCAAATAAGAAAACGAAGGTTTTAGTCAATTCATCCCTTGCTTGACCACAAGTCAAAATTAAATGTTTTTTAATTGCCCATAAGCCTCCTTCAAGTGGCATCAGATTGGATGTGGACTTAAATATGCTAAATTCTTATGTAACCTAAAAATCCAATTTCTATCTTTAACTCAAACGTGAAATGAGAGAGAGAGTCTGTGTTTTAACCCAATTTTCATACTTCTAGGGATATCTGAATGAGTCGTGCTAATAACAGCTGTTCACGTATTTTTCACATACACAAAAATCGTAAGTTACAATCTATAAACCTAATTAAGCATATTGTCACACTAGGAAATTCTAGACAACCTCATAACACCCTTCCAAGTCCAACTCCAATATAGAGAGAGAGAGAGAGAGAGAAATGAGCCATAACTTTAGCCTTTTTTGTTTAAGTGAACTCTAATGTGTATGGAGCTACAGTGCCATCCATCAGAGCAGAATTTGTCGGTCCTCTCTTTTGCCACTTTTAGTGTGATTTGTCATGTGATATGTCGGTTTAAGATTGCTTCTTACCAACACCAAGTCAATATACATTCAAAACCCTATATCTGCACTGCACCTTCTTGCCAGACTCCACTAGGATTTTCTTTTTCTTATTTTTGGGGCCTAATCACTGCTCTTTTAATGGAGTTGTTCAAAAAGAATTTCCAAAGCTTGCAAGCTGGAAGACTTAGCTGGCCTGACGCTGACTTCATTTGGGCTAAAAATGCAATGTATAAGGCCCTAGAGAGATACTTGGAAAGAAGCTTTAGAATTAGACCTAATTGGTTGTGTTCATGGGGAAGAAACACATCACCAAAAATTGATGAAAATATCTCTCATTTGACCAAACACCATCACTTGCAAGCAAAGATGCATATATATATATATATATATATATATGGCAGTCTCTTCCCCACACGGTTTAAAATGCGTGTGGGCTAAGTGGTCCATCCCTTCAAGCCAAGGAATCAAATCCTTATCAAAATACTGAACAAAGGTCCGAAGCAGACAAAAGCCCTCTTCTGAGGAAAGTTTATTCTTGCCCACTAGCATCTAGTTGAGCTGGAGCCAGACGGCACAATTTTGGTCACAAAACACAGCTTAGTGTTAGGGCCCAAAAGCTACAGCCATATTCGCCCAATGCAGTATTACTGGTATTAGGGAAATGTTGGAGGTAGGTAGGGGACCAACATGCATTATTTGTTTCATAAGCAATCTCTCAAAACTCATTTGGGATACCTGAAACCACCACCTGAGTATTGAAACACAGCTTTAAAACTACACCGTATCAAAGGTGAAAGGTTGCTTTCTCGCCAGTTGCCACACTTGATGAGTGAACATCCAAATGAGGAAAATGTGTGGTGGTCCAAATAATGTGTTCTGGTACGTACGTACGTGCCCCTTTGGGACTAATTAGGGTTGCCAAATTGTGTGGTCGAGTGATTAAATGGGGCCATGCACCCTTAACCCATATCAAATTCCGGCTTGCAGCTGAAAAATGGGGCACTTTGGTTGTTAAATAAACACAATTATTATTGTGGTTAGCGAAGGATATGATGGATCATGGCTTTATTTATATGTCTTTATACCAACTTAAATATATTTTCATGATTTTGACGCCATTGATGCATAAAACATCATCAATTCTTGCATTTTAGTGGTCTTCATTATTTATGCACATAATTAGTTTATTGTACATATATTGTAATGAATTTATGTGTATCAATGAAGTTGATTAATTAGAATTATCAATTGGTTAAAAGATCTTTGGCCAAAACGACATCGCTTGGGTGCGTTTCGTTGTGAAAGCCAGTATGTGCAAGAAGACATGGCTTGTGTCAAGAAGTCTTTGTTGGACTGGACCCAACTCTTTTCATGTATGGGCCGGCCTCCATGATTGTAAGACTTTGGGAAGGTTCATTAATCTTGGGGTTTTTTTATATTATAAATATTAGAAGAAGAGATGCAAAGTGAACTGCAAACTCTCGGCAACATGAGTAAATATTCTTAATTATATAATATTGAGTTTTAATTAGATTTAGTCATCTCCAATCAACAAAAATAGACATTAGTCTAAAACATCGAAAGTCATATTAAACCTAATAAAGGGCAATTTGTTCTTGTGTTCTTTGGAGGTGACAGGAATAATTTTCAACAGAAACGAACCAGAAAAAAGAAGACTAAGTTAGAATAGCTCTGACAAATTATAGCAAAACATTGACTGATCCAGTTTCCAATCAAAGCCGTTTGAAACGGAAATTTGAAACGAGAATGCCAAACCCAAAATCATGGTTCTCACTTACCCCATGATTCATGAATAAATAAATAAAAATGAAAAATAAACTGATTTCCGTGATTGGCGAGGTGATTGAGGAGATGGTGTTTGCCTTTTAAACTTAAACTAATGAAGTGGAGGACACTTTTGTTTTATTGTCAATCTATCAATGAATATAAATATTAGATAATCGACCAAAGAAAAAGTATATGAACATTTTATCAAAATAAATATGAGAAAATGTTTGACCAACATTTGATCAGTCGAGTTTGTGGAACTAAAGTTTACAAGAAAATAATTTGTACATTTAAAGGGACCCACTTCTTGTCTTTTCAATTACATGGGTCCCATTTCGTTAAAAAGATAAACTTGGTAATTGA